AAATTCCATATTTTGTTGACTGACGGAGTGAAAAGGAGTAAACGCATCCCCCGGAGCAAACACACATTAAAAATGAGTCCCTCTTCAAATGTTAATGTGCTGTTACAGCTGAAAATAGACCACAAATAATACATCATTCATTCCTATTTGTGTAATATTTGCTTAAAACAACAGTTTTTTCTTTGGGATATTATTTGGCTTTTTGTTTATAAAAAAAACTGTAAGTATACATTTTGAACTGCTTTTAAAGATTAACGTTTTCAGCTCAGGGCAGAGAGCCACAGACACGTTGGACTTAACACATTGTTGGTTTTGATCTTTTCATTGGATTTGTTATAAGAAAAAATGTAGACTATTGCCAGCCTTATCCTTTAAATAAATTATTCAAAGAACCAACTTCAGATGAACTAACAGAACTTTTGTTAGTAGGAATCAGTTAATAAAGTATAATTGGGCTCTACCGTCTTCCATCGCAGTTCATATTTTACTTTGTTACCAGGAATAACCTCAACCCAGTCTAATATTGTCTGTTCTCTGCATCTGCAAATAAATCACCCAGGAGCAATGCAGACTTGTTTGTGTTCCCCTTTTCGTCTTCCTCTTCTTCTTCATTTTACATTCCCTGCATGTGCTCATTCATCCCAGCTCTGTGGCTAATGCTTGTAATCCTCCTCATCAAACAAGGACGGCAGTTACTCCATTAGCAGGGTTTCTCATGTTGATGTCAGGCAGGCCATTGGTTTGCAAGGGAATCTTGTTAGGTTTCTTATTGACATTGTGTTTCATTAACTTGATTAATGACATCTATTGGGGCGTGCTCTACAGTAATCAACATCTCTGCAGAGAAGGGCTGTCTGCAGCCAAGGATGAGGCTCTACGGGCTTCTTCTGCCCAGTGGTCCACACTTGACTCGCCTCTCTGTCTCCCGTTTCTTTCCTAAAGGCTGCACTCAAAACAAATCTTATTTTCATAAATACAAAAGTAGTAAGCAGTAAGCGTCCATGAAGTAGACCCCAGATGACCATTACGAACTTTCCATTTCCAAAATTGTGTGCATTTCAGAAAATAGGCCTTTTGAAATTAAAGGAATAAAGCATCTTGTGTCCATATCTGCCAGGAATACATCAGTTAAGATGCTCCCAGCTAATTATTTGGTGATATAGGCACTTCTTCTGAGGTTTGCTTTACTTCTTTCACTATTTAAATATAATTGCAAAAAGTAAAGAAAAGGTTTTTGTAGAAGATTAGTTTTAAAATCCTTTACACTAACACTCAAATTTAAATATATTACATTATCAGTAGGATGAGTTCTGGGTTAATACTTGAAGGAAAACAGACGCATTTGATGTTTTCTGAACTAGTTTTTACAAAGCAAAGTGATTTCTTTCTCTGTCTCTGTGTATCCTACATCTGCTCTTATATCTCTCCCTTGGGGTGCAGGGGTGAGGGAAGGCGGGGTCACTTTCTGAGTTAGTGAATTTGAGATGAGAAGCTGCTCACCTCAAATACCCCATGAAGAGTAACACTGAAGGCCACTGCCTCCCAGCTCTAGGCGATGTTTGCCAGGGAAGAGAGATACAAAAGGAGAGATCAAAAAAAAAAAATCCCACCTGGAATTCTTATTTACCTTTCATCATCTGCTTTTTACCCACATTGTACTCAGTTATATTTGCGAGCACTCTTAAGGGAGAGAGGGGAAAGCTGTGCTGGTGCAACTCCAGGCAGGTGGCTGCTGGGCTGCCAGGGCTGCTGCTGTACAGGAGCTGACTCAGATAATTTGCCTTCTCGGATTATTTTCTTGGTGCATTCAGCTCAAAACAATGCTATCTGGCAAGGCGAGAGCAAAAGTGCAGCATTAAATCAAAAGTATATCTGTAATATAATATATCATCATAAAAATTTTCCAGAGTCATGGGCTTTTGCTGGCTTAATACTGTAATGGAGAGCATTTCAATTACCAAACTAAATGCTAATCACTTGGCAGGAAAATATCTTTTACCTAATATATGTTGATTTTTCAGAGCCAAGTGCTTTGATTTGATAAGTGTTGAATGGAGAGATATTTATCCACTCAGGGGTGGAAGAAACCTGGAATAGACTTTATGTTCAAAGTCTGATGATGTATAACACATATAAATTAACAAGCATTATGCTATTGGATAGAAATGTATACTGTGCAAAGTTACTGGAGGAGAAAACAATGACATAAAATGCACATGTAGTATAAAAATAATGTGAAAATCAGTCTAGCACTACAACCACCAATAATGTGCAAGTTAAGGCTGTAACTAATGATTATCTTCATTATTTCTATTTCTATATTCCTTATATTCCCTGTTGATTCATTTATTTTCTGCCAGTTCTTTCCTTGATTAAATCGATTCCCCTTTTGGTCTAAAAGAATACAGTAACAACAAAATGCTCCACATCTCCTTAAACCTCAAGTTACGGCCATTAAATTTCTTCATTTTTCCAACCAGCTCTACCAAACCTGACTATATTCAGTTTAGCATCACATGACTTTTTTTTATTTTTTTTATTTTGTTATAATACTTTAACAATAAATCCATTATAAAAATATTTGCTTCTTAATTTCCTGTTGTTCCGACAAGAAATGAATCAACTCATTTCAGTTCTTTTTTAGTTGAATGAAAATAAATAAATAAATAAATCTGAAACAAATCTAACAAGAGAGACAGTCAGTGTTGATGTTTTTGCCATCCTTCTTAAATGTGTGAATGAAAGTAAAGTTACAAATTGGTCAAAACCTTGACCTGCTGTTTCTCTGCAGTCTATTCTGCCAAACAAGGATATTTCCTTAACCTTACTAAATCGTTTGAAACTGTTAAATGTTTTTTAGATAAATACATTTGTGGTTTGGACTGTGTTCGGACATTACTATAGCTTTTAGCAACATAAGTTCCTCATGGATTCATAGTTTTGTCTTGGAGATCAACTGTGTCTAAACATTTGTAAGGAAACACATCATCAGATAAGGATTATCACTAGATTGTATCTGATTGCATTGAATATGGTCTTGAAGGAGTCCTTGGATCAAAACCATGCAATAGTCTGCATGGTAGGTTTTCTGCTCTAGGTATTTTTATCATTTTCTCATACCCCATGTGTGACACTGTCAAAAAATTGCACCTCAACCATCTGCTGCAATAAGACCATATGGAATCAGTCTTTATCTAGACTCCTTTCAAACTTGGACACAATTTGCAGAGGCATGCATTTCCAGATTTTTCAACCCTGATAAAATCCCTGTTTTAGCCAGCGTGACTTATTTTCCTTCCCCCAGCTGTCCCTGACTTGTGTCCAGGCGATTAAGTGTTCAGAGAGTGACAGACATAATTGATGAGCAACCGCAGCCAAGTCAGTCTCATTCTGTCCAGGCACAGTGCGAGACGTGAACAGGGCACCTTAAAGTCTCATCCTTTTAATTACACTTGTACTTAGTCAACCAAAACACTAATACTCCTTGGGAACTCCTTCAGTAGAGTGATTTGTTGGATTGGGAGTAAATGCGAAGGCAAAAGGATCCAAAGACTCGTAAAGTAGGAAAAAAATATATGTATAAATATATATATACACATATATATGTTGCCTGTAATATTTATGGGATAAATTATGTTTCTCAAATTCTGCTCTTTTTTTTTCTTCCGTTTACCACAACATTTTGACTGGACCTGTATATTTGGTCTGGAGTCTGGGAGTTAGTCTAATGCTGAGGCACTAATTTATGGTTTCAAAATATGCAAATGTACATTTTATGTAGTGTATTAAGCAATTTTTAACACTAGGTGACAAAAACTCCAAAACAAAGTCAGAAACACAGCCCTGATACACTGTAAACATATCATGTTGCTATGGCTAATTGCAGCAAACAACTACCCATCAGACACAGTAACATGAGTATTCCAGTGGAGTCCAGCTTCACTAGTTTAATTTGACTCTGTGCTGCTTTCTGGGAAGGTAGAATTCACTTTGCATGCTAAGGATTTTTCTGGAAATGACACACACACCACATCAGCAACGAGTGCATACACCTGACACATTACAAACAAGGATATTTGTATAAAAAACAGCATTTGCACATATTGCATATATTGCAGTGCTGAGGCTGAACAGATCCAGTGTATAGAGTGGACGAGAGCTGCTGGCGCTGCACAGCCACAGCAGACCAAACGCGAGTTTATGAACTACATGTACAGTCTGTTTATTACACTATAAAATGATCCTGGTCCCATTCTGTTGCGTTCATTACAACAGAAGTTATTTTGCTTTTTCCAGAGAAAATCCAGTAAATGGGTAGAGACCACCCCAAAAAATAATCTAAACGAGTGCGAGTGAAAGCCGTTGCTTGGCGGTATAATGGTTCTATGAATTATGGATGACCGTCAGATGTCATTCCGTGGACATTAAAACGACTGAAAACAGATGAAATGCTTTGGTTTAGATGGGGAGAGAGATGGAGAGACACTGCAGCGATGGTCTGACAGAGCTGTAAGCAGGGGGGCGAGAGTATCAAAGGTCACAGGGTACCACAGGGGAGAGATGGTGTGGGTCAGGATTTTAAAGTCATGTTTTTGCATTGGTGAAAGGGCATGTTCAAGGTAAAATGGGGTGTTAAGTTGGTCTTTAAAGTAAATTCTCAGTGGGTTCAGCAGCACTGTTGATTCTATAGTGTGATTCTCGAGAGAACTGAATGGAGCTCCAAAGCCCTTCACATGATAACCACATGTGTAGCTGAAACAGACAGACGCCCTGCGCTGTTTTCAGGCCTCTGGATGTTCTGTAATGTACATATTAAAGTTTCTCATCAATTTCTGGCTGGATGTGTGCGCTCTGGGATCAAATCTAACATTTGACCTGACTAATTGATTTTTGCTTGCATGTCTCCGAGCTTCACCGATTTTCTGCAGTACAGTACGTTCGCATGGGTAACATCTTCCTTTGCCTCTGTGGTTATGATATATGAAGCCAAGCGTACTCACCATCCTCCCGAGACTTCTGAATGAAAGCATCGACGCCACTCTCTCCGTAGTTTCCCTCAGAGGCCACGGTGGAGACGTAGTTCCAGCGCATGGCTTTGACGATGTCCACCATGGCCTGAGCCTGGTAGGTGTCTGGAGGCACCACACGGGAGAAGAAGTCATAGCGGGTGTTGTCACTGAGCTCTGGAGCTGTGGAGGCGTAGCTCACCTGGGGAATCTGCAAAACAAAGAATATTGATAATAGAATCAGCTTCTTGTGGCTTCTAGTGAATAGTTATGGGATATGATAATAGTTGTGGGAAGGGAGTGAAGAATATAGAGACACGGCAAGGTATTTGTATAACACCTCTCAACAAAAAGGCAATCCGTGCTAGTGCTATACATAAGCCATAAAAAGCATTAAGATATAAAAGAAACACAAGGCAATACAAAGAGACGCATATAAATAGGATTTAAAAAGAATGAAATAAAATAGGGGATAAACATAAGCTACATTAAACAGAAGAATACAAATCACAGTGCAGCTAGAGTGCAGTGCATGATATGGATAAATAGTCCCAAATTTAATTTAATGCAAGGCCGTGGTAAACAGAATCTTAAGGCTTGATTTAAAGGACCTGGAGCAGGAGGAGACCTCAGGTTTTCCAGATATGTGGAGCATAAAAACTGACTGAGCACTGCAAGCAGACCCGTCCCGGTCGATCCGAGAGGTCTGGGTGGTTCATAATGCAGCAGCAGATCAGAAATGTATAAACCGTTCAGCGCTTTGTAGATCAGCAGTAGTATTTTTAAAGTCAGCTCTCTGACAAAGAAGAGGCCAGTGTAGAGATCTGAGAACTGGAGTAATGTGATCTACTTTCCTGGTTTTAGTGGGGATGTTTTGAATAAGCTGCTTTTTCAAAGAGACCTTTAAAGAAACTGTCGTCGAGCCTAATGAAGTTCAGCGCATTAATAACTTTTTCTAAATCCTGCTGGGATATAACTCTTTTCATTCATGATATATTCTTGGGATAACAGCTGTCTTAATGTGGCAATTAAAATTTAGGTCCGACTCCATGACTGCCCCAAGTTGTCTGGCTCGCTTTGTGCGTCTTTAACGTTTGATTTTAACGTGACTTTTTAAATCATTCCTCTTTGGCTCCAAAAACAATTATTTCCGTTTTATCTTTGACAATAAACATGAAAAAAATAGAAATGATATCCAGAATATCAAAGAGCAGTTTGATGGCATCCAACAAGCTGCCGTCTTTTTGAGACTCGAAACAGAGCTACTGATCCTGAACCCCCGCTGAGCCTTTTAACACCCAGCCTCGGTGCTCCCGTGTGCTGCAGCAGGCTGCCCAGCTCACAAGATGAGACGATGAGCATGTCAGACTCGCGAGCAGGGGTCATCAAGAGTGATGTTGCATCTTACTTTACCAGAAGTAAATAATTTGATTTAATTTTGTCACATTTTGAACTGCTACAGGGTAGGCTACAATGTCATAGCTTTTGTATTAGAAAAGCTTTCTAAATGCTTGAAGTTGCACCGTGACCAGGCTGCTGCTGCTCCCACTGCTCCAAAGATTTCACTGATCTGTGTGTTGAAGAAAGAAAAATATTACATAAGAAACTTAAATAGAAAAATAAATAGGTCAGCTAAAGCGTGAAGCCTTTATTGAGTGACCATAATTTTATAGGAGATTTTCTGGTGGTTGTTGCTGTGTTTCTCAACACAGGAGACTATTTTCAGGGATTGCACCATGTCAGTTTTTGTAATAGGTAAACTGTGTTTGTGCAAATGGAATTTTTCATCTCAATGCCACACAGTGATTCACCAGACAGACAGCAGGGGTGTTTCCTGGTAATGATTCACAGTGTGCCTTTTTGATGAGGATCTGTCGTCATGTTTTTGTGTCTCTAAATAAAATAAGGGGAAGGTGCACTCAGTGAAACATGATCCTAATGAAAAACAGCCCTGTTTTCCCTCTAGATGCCTCTTTGCCACATGCAGTATTTCATTATCACAGACAGCAGACCTGTAGGCTGAGGTGCATGTGCACACACAGACACACACCCTTGATATTAAAACATCTAACTTCAAGGCAACAGCCTCCCACCAAGAAGAACAACGCAATGGCCCTACTCTCTTATCTGGGTAAAAATATATAAATAAAATGTATTTATATATTTATATATAGAGTTTAATCTTGACTGGCCCTTGGCAACAGATTAACTGTGATACAGTAAATAAAACACAGGATAGAAAAGACAAAAAAAAGACATGTAAAAAGCCGAAAGGTGGTTAGTCAGAATGTACCGTGTATCGTGTCGTGTAAGTGTGTTGTTAGTGTGCTACAGCACCACTAAAATCTCTAAAATGGTTCACCATTGCTAACAGGACTCGTAATTAACAGACAGTCATGTGTATAAATGTCTAAATGGCTCAGTACCAGGCTACCAGTGTTTGAGCGTACTTGAGGCGTGCGAAGGTATAATACTTCAAAAAGCAATCAAAATTCATAGATCTACATCCTTTCGATGTGCAAGGGTTGAAATTTGTAAAGGCTTACTAACTAATGTGAGATCCTCAGAATCTATCAACGTTGTAAAAACTTTTCATTTAATGAAAGTAAAAGTGTGCTTCCTTTCAAGACTATTTAATGAAATGCAAAGGGGTGAGATGAGTTACACAGTACAGTACAGTACTTTTGGCTGGTACTGGAGGGCAGCAGACGCTGAGGATGCCGCTGAGTTGTGGCTAAGGCGCAGGGTGCTGGTGGCCACCACAGCTCACAACAACAAGGCACAGGTGGTAACTGATCCAGTGTGACGTGCAAGCATCAGTCAACAAGGAGCGAACCAGCCGGATGGTTGGAATGTGTCTTTGTCTCATGGGCCAGACTTTGGTCAGCCAAACCCCATTGAATGAAATTCTTAATCCATGCTTTCTATGAGGTTCTACCAAGCCCATCCCACTTGTTCTGAGGGGGGAAGGTGGAGTCATTAGCTTGCCCTCTGTGCCTGAGGAGAGGGAACCTAGAGCACATCCTCAGCAGCTGTTCAACAGCCCTGGGCAAGTGCTCTACCGCTGGCACCATGACCAAGTCCTGAAAGCCGTAGCGGACACTGTCTGCAGTGGGATTAGCCACTTAAAGCGCCTCCACCCAGTGAAAAAGACCGTTGCTTTTGTCAGGGCTGGGGAGAAGCCAGCGTCAGCTGCCAGGACCACCTCCTCTGGCCTGCTCGCAACAGTACAAGACTGGGAGCTGAAAGTCGACCTGGGGAAGTGACTGAAGTTCCCAGAAACTGCTAACTCAACAAAGCTAAGGCCAGAAATGGTGCTGAAGTCTCCAAGCAGATCATTCTCTTCGAACTCATCACATTAAGAAGGCAAACAAGAGGAAGAGGGCAAACTACGCTGAGCCAGCGGAGCAATGGGTGGTGAAGCGAGGTGCGAGCCCATTGAGGTGGCATGCAGAGGGTTCACAGATAGGTCCCTCTGCAGGGCCTACAACATGCTGAGTAACACAGGGGCCTGTAGGCGAAGGGCCAACAAGGTGGCCACTGAGGCAGCAGAAGTTGCTTGAAGGTGGCTGTGGATCAGGAGGGGAGAGCCATGGGTGGGAGAGCACTACATGAACACAAACCGGGGCTTGATCGAGCCTGGCTGGGTCGCCTGAGTGAGGGTGTCTCATGTTGAAAGACCATCACCACATTAATCTGTCATGTGCTTGTGTTTTTTTTTTTCGTACATTTCGTCGAGATTTTTTTTTTCCTCTATAATCACTCAACATTATTAGTCTTGTCTTTTCTTCAGTACTCCTTAGCTCCCGTAAATATGAGAGATACTTTATTCACTCACTCCCCTAGTGTTAGTTCCACAGTAAACTTCTGCATTTGTCTTACAATTTTACCTGTTGCCCTTATTCTTATCCGTCACTGTGTCCCAATTCATTCCTACATGCTGATTCGAAGCACGTTTTTAATCAGTAATGTCTTCACACTGAAAGAAGAGGCAAAAGAATGTATATTCAAAAGCAGACAGTTCGGGTGTGCTTTTGATGCAATGCACGAAAGAAATGGAGAAGCTGCACACAGCTGGAAAAAAATGAAATAAATCGTGGGTGGTGGCGAAACAGCTGCAAAAACAAAACAAAACAAAACAAAAAATATCTTGGAAAAGAAAAAAATATGCATCAAATCTCTTAATGTCTCCTGCAGTGAAGTTAAATTAGCAGTAGCTTCACAAATATGACATAACATCCAACACACTTATTGTATCATTTCCTGTTAGTATGAATGGTGATGTTGATCTATTTGTATTATAAACTGCTAATCCAGTAATGAATTGTTTAGCATTAGTATGTAGAACGGATTTTACTGATCAGCTCACGTCTTTTTTGCTCGGTGAATATTTGGACCAGTGTGTTATGTGTAGCTTTTGTTATGTTGTTGTTGTTCTTTTTTCCTATTTGATTGGTATATGAAGTTTGTTTGTGGTATTTTCAGTCTCATGCACAGCGGCCTTATGCATGCTTGTCCAAGCTACAGCAGCTTGGTTTGAAATGTATTCATGAAGACAGGTTAGAGGCCAGAGTCACTGAGGTACTTCACTTCAGTACCAGGACCTTAAGATGATTGCCTGTGCGAGCCTCAGAGAGAAGAGAACATGAAACAATGATATGGAAAACAAAATAATGGAACTGGGTGTATTCATGGAGTGGAACTTTGAAAAGCTCACCTAACAAAGCATAACATCCTAGTGATTGAGGTTATTTAGGGGAAGAAAAGACAAAAAACGGAGTGCAACTAAAAGCCTTCTTGAGTGTTTTCACTACTTCTCTATTGAGCAGTGTTGCTGGCATTTCTATCAAGGTTTACAAGCATCCCAGTTACCGCTTTAAATATATTATATATATTATTCAGTGGAATTAACATAATATGAGGGGTCTGTGCCTCTGCAATTGAAATTATTGTGTTATGTTACTATGATTAAAAAAACGGTTCTGCTAATTAAGGACTTGTTCTTTTGCCAGGTGTGTTGCTCTCCTCTCCATCTCTTCTCCATAGTTCTGCCTTGTTCTCGTTTCCCTCCCACATAAGGATCACGAGAGACAAAATATCTGCCTGGGCCTGCACTGCACCAAATGTTTTCCAAGTCACCAAGTGTTCCTTTACATTATATTGACAGAAAACAGCTAAGGCGGCCAGCAGGAAACGGGATAACTCATGAGT